ACCATAATGAGCCACTTTGACTACGACTGTACATTGTTTGATATTTTAATGAAGGCCAGCACATGTTCTGACTACTTGACCATATAATAAGCCATAAACCAAAATGAATCTTATAAAACCCAACAGTGCTTAAGGGAATCCTGGTCATGGGCAACTGTGAGTCATATATGGGTAAACTATTTTGATCAATGGATAGGCTTTGCAATAGGCTTCACACCTATGCCATGCATGATGGGATAGCAAAAATAGATAGATTACAAAATATATATTATCAGGTTGTTTGATTAACTCACTACAAAAGCAGGGCTGCAGCTAGTGTTTTTCCATCAGTGATCATATTTTGTTTTTTTATTTTTTTATTAGTTTTTTGGTCTATTACTGGTTATTATTGGTTAACCCTAACCCTAAAGAAAAACTGTCACACATCCATTTCATAAGACAAGTACGTAGCAGAGCATTTGGCCATTTCCTGAGCTTTCGATCTGCTTCAGCGTTTCCGATTTTGTGTTTGGATTTCGGTTTTGCCTTTTGGGGTCTTTATTTTCGACTGAACTGAAAATTGTGTATTGAGAAAATATTTAGAATTTCCTCTTCGGGCAGTTTTTCTTTCTAGATTTTTTGGTTTATGTGTGCTCTCATCCCGAGAAGCTGATGTTTATTTGTTTATTCATTTGATGATTCGGAGCTGACGTCATAATGATGATTGGTTGCAGGCTTGTAGCCCATGTCATGCCCATTTTGGCGTACTTTTTATCTGATGAAATTCTAGTACCGAAACGTTGCCAATAAATTAATAAAAGTCCCAAAATATGTTGTTTTGTCCGAGAAACCAAAGATATTCTGTTTACTGCCAAAAAGGAAGGTAAGAAATCTAAACATTTTTAAAATACAAGTAGTTAAAAACTTCAAGAAATTTCAAATTCATATCTTAAATTTAACAATTATAAATAATAAATGTCATTCATATCAATTAATAATTGTGTTGGCAACAATGTTATAGTCAACAACCTCTTGGTAGTTTGAATATATGTTGCAGCTCTACCGTTAAGTTGAGCTAACTGTGTAAATAGATTGCCGATTGAATGCCTCGTGCCTGTTACCAAATCCCTAGGTTTAACCAACGCTTTAAAAAGAAATAGATAAACACTACACCCACAATAAATAATCAATGAGCAGGTCCCTAAGCTTCATCCTGAGCCGAGATATTACCATCAAAAACAAAGTGTCTGCAGCCAAGAAATCACCATATCAATGGCACATGCCACAACAACCCTGTCCCTCGCTTACTCTCCAAAGATCATGCTAGATAAACCCCAAATAACAGAGAAATTAACAAATGCTTGACATTTGCTCAACATCCATTATTCTGACACTTCTTCAGAATTTCAAAGGGCTGAACGCATGCTTAATCAACATTCATATTCCCCGAGCGCGCCCCGGCACCATATTGCAGCCCGCCTCAGTGCTGATGAAAACGGCACATTAGGGCCCGATTCGGAAAACGTTCAGGGACTCCTCACCAGGGAGCTCTGTGCATGTGTGTGTGTGTGTGTGTGTGTGTGTGTGTGTAAGTAAGTGTGTGTCTAGAGGGGAGGGATGCTTCACACTTTACTTTTTTAAGCATTTTTTAAAACTGAGGCATCTGCCCCTTTTCTGCACGCCCTCCTACATTCATGACTGTGAAAGGCATATGAGTGAGTGAGCTGAATGGCATTTTAAAGAGGGGGGGGGGGGAGTAATCATTACATCCAAATTCATTCATAATACAGCACAGAAGGACACAGAGGACTCTCACTTTCCCTCCCTCTTTTTCTCGCCCCTCTTACACAGACTCTCTCTGGGGACAAAGGGTGGAAGGACTGGGGTCCCCTCTAGACCCAAGGGAAGCCGGGCAAGGCCTCAGAGAGCAGCCCATCATTTCCAATTCTAATACGTGGCAAGAGAAGGACGTGATGGGACTGATGTCACATTTCCCCCCCGCAAACTGGCCTGCGATGAGTAACCCCCCCCACCTCCCATTGACTAGCCGCGGTCCAGATACAAGGCAGGACAGCACGGCTGGCTAAGAGGAGGGCAAGGAAGAGAGGGCAAGAATGGGGGTTGATATTTGCATGTCCCTCCATTGTGAGTGGGGGTAAAAAGTGACAGCACCGTGTCCAATTCTTTTCCCCCTAGAGCAGCTCGGGCCCGGCGAGAGAGGCCAGGCTGACAGATGACTCCCAACATCTGTGTTATGCAGCCGTTACAGATGAGGGACTCCACATCGCAATCGGTCTCTCTCTGTCTGTCTATGGGACACTCCCCCTCTCCTCCCACTGCTCATACTACAACAGAGAGACTGACAGACCGTCCGTGGAAATTACCTTGAAATGGCCAATAACAATCTTATTGTTCGGAAGTTTAAATTTTCCTCCCTTTAAGTCTATAATCAAAAGCAATGATTACAAATGAGATTTGAGCTAAATGAAGCATTCAGAGAGTGAAGAACTATGGCTTTTCCTGTGAATCTGCACCTCAAATGTTCTGTTCGTTTTCAAAAAAACAAATAGCATCATTAAATCTCTTTACTACTCAATATGTGTTCTGCTGACAATGAAAACTTTGGAGAAACTATAAAAATATTTTTCAACACATGAACAGAATATTGTGATGCATTAAACATTTTGTTTTCCTGCATGACAGACTTTGCATGCACTTTTTTTTTAATTACAGTATTACTTTTTTATATCATAATTTTTGCTCATCAACATGAATGTTACATTTTGCACGACTGTTGTCATGAATAAAGTCGACAATTAGCATGTTACCATCACAATATGATTTTACTTAATGTAAATAACAGCTATTACAAATTAGAGTCCATCCCTATGTGATATCAGAATGCATTTTTTTAAATAATTAAACATTTATTATTCTGGTGGATGTTTGAATTCATAAGTAAGCATAGGAATGAGACACAATATTTTCTATATGTGTTAAATGTATAAAGTAACACTGTAACAGTCATGTTGTCTGCAAGAAAACAGGTAGTAAACAATCAGCTCGCTCAACTTTGCTTCTTTTGGAAACCCTCGCTGTGTAATATTAAATGATTTTATATCCGGATACCTGTCTTTTCTATCTGTCTGACTATCATAACCCAACCAGTTTTTCGCCCAGCCCCTCAGTGAAAGCTTGTCCACAACAAAACCCCTGCCACCCCCACCCGCCCCCCGCCTGCCAGCCCCAGCCTGGCCAATATTTACGCAGTGGCAGGGCTCCCACACAGTCTGAGGGGACAGGAGGGGTGTGGGGCGGGGGTGGCTGACTGCCGTGCCTGAGCGCATGCTAAGAGATGATGGATGGCCTAGTCGATATGTTATGTCTTAAGAGCCTGATTTCCTGCCAGTCCAATCACTAACCCTCCAGAGCCCAGCTCAGCTGATTGGACAACCAGAATAATTTCGCAGGCTGTGAAAACACTGCTGCCGCGCCTGTCTGTCAGGCCCAGTGACGAGACTCAGGGATTTTAAAGAGCAAGGGCCTCCCCAAGATTGGTTATGGTGAACGAAATAATAACAATAACCAGCAAGACTAAACAAAAAAGCCAGCACCTCTGGGAGAGAGATCATGTAGAATTATTGGAATGAAAGACCTCAAATGTTTTCTTTTAATTATTACACCCAACACACAGTACTACTTTTTGAAAACTGGAATTCAGTATGTTTGTTAAAGACAGTTTGGATAAGGAAACCAAAGGGAGAAAGGAAACTCAAAATAAGCACGAGAAGGACCTCCTAGTGGTGGTTGCCTAAACATACAGGATATTGGATGAACTTTATACGCATGACATATTCTGTAAAAAGCTGATGCCGAGAACAAAGGCAAGCTCAAGCTTTGCCGTGTTCTCTTTGGGGACCTGATACCGTCTTCTAGATTGGTGATTAGGGCACAATGGAAGTAGGAAGCTCCAAATGCATACGACTTTGTAAGTGACCTCGACGGGATCAGCCGTGGTGTCCTGGTGGCCTTCGGGGATTACACATGTTACGTTCAATAAAGTGAGGGCCCTCAGTGTCAAGGAGAAAGGCAAACACAACCATTAACCTCTCGCTTCGATTCCTGGATGTGCACCCTCTCGCTGCATGGCAAAACACCGGCTAACGCTGTGCTTGGCGGAAGCGTTTACAGAATACTGTGTGGAGTTAATTAGTGGTCATAAAATGTGGATTAAATTTGGATTTAAATAATAAACATATTAGGATCAAAAAAGAACTATAAGGATAAATGGTGCTGCAAGGGGGGGGGGGCGGTATATTCCATCACATAATTTACAACAAATGCATACATATGTGTAGTGGCGATATCTATAGTCTATAAATAACAAACAAATTATAAACTTAACACAAACTCATAATAAAGCCACTGAGGCACCTAGAGGGCGACTCTTTACGCAGGATATATTAATAAGTGTCCAGGTGATGCTTGAAGGTTTTAGGGTGGTTTATTTTACCCAGAGACATCAAGCAGGCAACAAACAACAACAAAAAAAAACGCTGCTGTCTCTTTTGCCCTGTCATCCTGCCATTGCGTCCTGGCTAAAAAAAAAAAAACATTCACCCATTAGGTGCCTACCTGAGTCTCACCTGGCTACCTGGCTATATAGACACACACCCAATGTACGACAGTCTCCACCCATACGCCCCCAAGTAGCAAAAATAAATAAACAAATGGAAATAACTCATAAATGTAAACAATAATAATCAACATAATCTAATATTCAAATGTATCCCCAAAAAATAAGAATACAGACTTTCACTTAACTTAGGAACAGTGAACAGCTGTAATAATGTGTATTTTGTATTTCAGGCTTTAAACAATTTACAAAAAATAAAATAAAAGGATAATCATGCAGAGGAATTATGCAATTTCATCATCATTCCATACATGAACACACACACAACAATTGCGCATGTACGGAAGCAGAGATCAATTGTAGTCCTTTATGTCTAATCACTTACTTTGGAAATCTGTCCTTCAGCATCTTCATACACTGGCGGGTTGGTCTCAGTTGCTCTGTCCATCTTGCTATCTCTTTATATTCAGCTCGGGGTATTTTCATCGTCCTTTTCTGTATCTGCTGTGTCAGAGAGTGAGCACGTTAAACAACGGATACTCTCAGGTGACCGGCAGCTTGTCAAAAAAACACCTGTACCTGCACTGCTATCCGTACTTAGCTTTAAGTTATCGCTAACGCTTCACACTTTGCAGAATAACACTTGTTTTTCTTACCCTTGAAGGATTATCTGATGACTAATGCATGCACACATACTTTAATTATGTGTTCAGAAGGATAAATATCATGTCAAGTGTTTGTTTACCATTTATTCCTGCTGCCTGTGCTTAGTTCCCGTTAGCCGCTTCCCGCTAGGAAGTTGAAGAAGTGACTTTAGTGTGAGCGGTGCGTTGATTGGTCGATTCAACATGGAGCGCTGAGTATAGAAGCAGGTGATTGGCTACATCGCAGTACAGAGGCGGTGTCAAGCGTGGACATGCTGCTGCTGCTGCTGCTCAGTCACTCGCTCCCTGCGTCTCAGAAGCGTCACAGGATTGTCGTGAAATGAAAGCGATACAGAGGCAGGTATTTTGACTTATAAATACATAAGCTGTCTCATAAGCCATGTAGCCTACCCTAAGGTCCAATACACACAAAGGGCTTATGTTACAGCTGATGTAAAATGGACGGAGAAATGCACAAAAGCACAGAGAGTAGAGGGAGGGGGGGGAATGTGTATGTTTATGAATACAGGCTACCACAATTTATGAAAATAATTTCACATTGTTTGACAACAGCTTTCCGTTTTCTTGCATAGTCTCACTGATGGTGCAGGTTAATAATAAATAATTAAACTATTTTTTGAATAATACATTTGCAAAAACAGTTTTTACCACTGTTTTTTCTTTGAATTTAGTCGCCCAGGCTGCTTTAAATTCAAGAATAAGTATTTAGCTTTTATTTAGATTTAAAACAAATCCTTTACTTTTAAAACATATATATGCAATGCTTATCATTAAAAAAAAAAATACAGCATTTTTAACAGCTCTTAAAACTGACTCGGTCATAAGTAACACAATTTCAGACAGGAACTCCACAGCCCTGAGAGAATACTGGTCCAGGCTTTTCTTAATGATTTCCTACAACCTACAGGAATCTGGAGGGGCCATCTGCAGCTGGTGGGCCCCCAGAATCATCAACACCTTTTACATCACCAGTGAAGGTAGTGCTTTAAATGCCTCTGGCAAATTATGTAAATTGGACCAAGGATGATGATGATGTACTGTAAAGAAGACTCAGAAGGTTTGTTAAACATTACAAATGTGATGTTAAGCAACAAGAATGTTTGCTTTGGCGGCTGATGTAACATTTGTTTACACAAACTAGTTGGATACCAGTAGAATTTAAATGCAGAATGATTTTTTAGTGTAAATATTTGAAGTTTGATTATTTAGTTTTTTTCCCCCTGTGAGCTAAATGATTGCTTCTGCCCAGTGTTGATTATAGGAAACACTGTGATAGGACTAAAATCTTTAAGACCTAATTTGTCAAATACATCCCTTGAGATCTATATAATTTTACAACGGCATTGTTGTGTAATTAGTCTCTGAACAGTGCTAAACCTTAACCCTAATAGATTTTCTCTTAAACCTTCCCTCTTTACAGACATATGGAGAGAAGACTCCACGTCGTTTTATGGCGAGTGTTGCAGTCCTTGTTTGTGTGTGTGTTTTATATTTTGAAAAAATGATTAAAAAAAATTCTAATAATTAGCCTTAAAGTGTGCAAACATCTCTGGCTCTGTTGTGTGCCTGTGACAAAATAACTCTGCGGGTCCATTCTTTTGACAAACACATTGCTTGTGTCCTCTGTTGTGGATGAACAATGCACTGCCGAATACAGACAGGCTCTATCTGACCTGTGGTGCATCAGAAAATAGAGCTCATTGTTGTTGGGCAGTGTAGTATGATGTCTGAGATGAGCTGAGGTCTCGGGCTGTGTGTTCACCGGCACAGTCTCTGGCTCTGAAAGGGCTCAGTGCTCTGTGGTGGCTACAAAAGGGAGCTGTGTAGTGGGATTGGTATGGCCAGATAAGATCGGGGCCTCTGAGGAAGTCTGGTCTGATTGCTACAAAGGGCTGAGGTCAGGGGCAGGAGGAGCAGTTTACTCATCTAGGTATCAGAAGATCAGGCGGGGTTTTGCTGGGGAGCCGCGTGTGTAATAGGTATAAAAGGATCAGTGTAATGTGATGGTATAAAAAGATAAAAATCCGAGGAGGGGTTGGAAGGCGGTGCACTGTAATGGCCCCAAAATCGAGGGGATTAGAGAATTTGTTATGTGTGTAGGTGTCTCCACTTTTTTTTCTTGTGTGCATCTTTGATGGCTGTGAAAAAGAGACGGGGATTGAGAGCGGGAGACGAGGATGCAGGGGGATACTCAAGTGTTTTGAAGGCTACATGTAAACAGGGCAGTGGTACACACGGTGCCGTTAACCAGCTGTGAAGCCTGCTCACAGTGGGGGATGAATTTACAAAAGGATGTCTCCCTCTGATATCCAGGAGATGCCGCACTGATCTCTGCTCCACTGCTCTCGGCACACCATTGTAGTGCTAAGCACCGTTCCACTAATGGCACTTATATTCCGTAATGCCTGGAAAACATTTTCATTTTACTTGCAGCAGAGGGAAAGTGGCAGCATGTATAGGGGAGAGAAATCGTTTTTTTATCAACAGAATCTTAAGTTGATGAATGTAAGATTTGTGATGTTCTGTAATTTCCTTTACTCATAGCACAGTTTAAGGAAATTGCAAGTCCTCCCATGTCTCGCACGTTAGTACCTCCTCACCATATCCAGTGATATTACTCACTGTACAAAGAGAGCATTTTGTTACACTAGACTGTCAGCATTACTGTCATAATGTTTCTTTTTTTTTTTTCCATTTCTAAAGTCAGTGACTTCACTCCTCTGCACCACAGAATTGCTCTCCAATCTTCAGGGAGTCTGGGATCTCTGCTCTAAAATTCACAGTTTAAACATGAGGCAAGCCATAACCAGGAAATGCCTGTAGTATTAGCAAGGTATCGGATTCATGCGTTCCCCCCCTGAACAGCATGACTGCCCCTGAAAATCCCACATCCATATTTTACATCAGGGCAGACAAGGCACATGTGTTTCAGCCCAGCTTTCAAAGCTGTTTCTTCCATTTATTTTATTATCCTTTAATGAATTTAATTAGAGGACATGTAATTAAATGCAATTGTGCTCAACCCCCCCAAACATACACGCACATGCATTTGTACACACATGAACATATTTGGCTGAGAATTGCCCAAAACAACATGTGCAATGTGAGCGAATTGACTGGATTAATAGGGGATTGATAATATTTTGGGATTGTATTTCACTCTAAACGGCTGCACGAGGAAACAAAGGCTGCAGCCCAGGCTCATTAATCATAGTCAACGGGCTGCCCGGGTGCAATTTGCATGTCCGAGGTGGCTGCACATGCTGCCGTTCGGACTAGGTTGCTGGAGCTGCCTCGATTTGGCCGGCCTGTTAACGCTGCGTCAATCAAGAATAACCCAATAAGAGTATGACAGAGAAAGAGGGGGGAGAAAAAAAAAAAAAATCTCCTCATTACCGAACAATCCTTCCCTCCCCTCCCTTACTCCCCTGTCTGTGCAACTTCTTATTTTAGTTAACACTAATTACACCGGCCTGGTTTTCAAATGAATCCATTTTGTGACATTTACTCCCTGACATTTTTGTTAAAGTAATACTTAATTATTTTCTTTTTTTTTTTTAAATATTTGAATCATGAAAACATTCAATTCTTAAAAAAATATATACTTTTTAGACAATTTAATTTAATCCTAAAATTATTGTCTCACCTTTTAGCTATTTAGACAATTTAGGAAATGATCACTTTTATCTACAGTATAAAGAGAAGTTTTTTTATTTGCTCTGTATTTTTGTCAATCACAGTCAGGGGCCTCACTAAGCCATTTTAACTCCAGATAATTGGGTTGAGGCGTGATGCAGCGAACTTCAAAATGTAGCACTGCTCCACAAAGCTGTAATCTCACCACCGACTCCCGTACACTGAATTCTAATTATCTCATCATGAACTTAAAAAAAAATAGTAACTGTTTTTAATGGCTTTTTAACTCCATAAGAGGCGTGGATGTGCATGAGATGCATGTGTGGCTTTTTTTTTATCACACACACACACACACACACACACACACACACACACACACACACACACACACACACACACACACACACACACACACACACACACAAAGCCACACACACACACACACACAGAGACACCCACCAAAGCCACACACAGACATGTGAATGCGGCTTGTGTCTGGTCTGGCCTCTCTACCTAGCTCTGCTGCCGAGGCTCACGCTGTGCCCCCCCCTCTCACCATCCCCTAATATCCTGGAGGCATTTTTCTCATTATCAAATATTGTTTGATGTCTTTGTTTCTTGATGATTAACCATGGTCACCAAACACTGGTCTGGATTGTTTAAAATTTAATTTTGGGGCTCTGAAGTACCTGCAGAGGGGCTGACTGGTGGGGACACGCGTATTTTATGTATGCTATTTTTCACGCTGAAATGCAAGAGGACACACACTGAAAAACACAATAAATCCTGGAGGAGAATCATTAGTGGGGATACTAGTGCTTTTTATGACCATTGTTATTCAACGCTGTATTGAGATGCTGTAAATTATTCTGTTTATTACGGCTTTATGGATTCAGTCCCATTTTCAGAATAATTATGTTTCTTATTCTGCATAGATAAAAACCTACTCCCTCCATGTGTGTGTTTAAATAGAAAAGTAATACCACAAATATACACTGTAAACATCTATTTTTCATGCATAACAAATTAATCTTTCAAAATGATTTTATTTGTGAATCCTTTTTTTTTTTTTTATGTTTTTTGATTTCCAAGGATGGTGTTTATATTTCTGAGGTAATTTGAACATCATAAAGACAAACATCTTGCCTAAGGAATCCAAGATTTATGACTGAATCAACACTGTAAGCAAACAAATATCGAAACAACGCTCTCCCCTAATGTCAGCATGTCAAAACTATATTGAATACTTGAAATATCTGTGTATCTGAGGCTGAATAGCAGCCATTGTATTGGTCTAATGATATTATCCTCTGAAAATTTGGAGAGAAAGAAAAATGGCAGAAATGAGCGGCACCATTGTCTGCCCCGGTTTTTATTTAAACAAATTGCACGAGCAGAGAGACACAGACTGAGGGAAAGAACGCGCAAGGGGGAGAGAGAGAGAGAGAGAGAAAGTGCTCTGTAAATGAAAGGTTATGCGTCGTCCCATGTGTTTGTATTGTCAATAACTGGAGAAGGCTGTCAAGAAAGTGGGGAGATAA